TAAGTGTAAATAGGGTTCTGATTTTCTGGAAAATCACAAAAACGAGATGGTTTTCGAAGTGAGGGGTTAGTTTTTGAGATAAAAAAACTGCCCATAATTTCATGAATAACTGAAGATTAGGTCTCGATTATCTGAAAAATCACTATAAACAGAGGGTTTCAGAAATGTGAGGTCCATTTTTGTAATAAAAAAAACTACTCATAATTTTGTGAATAAGGGAAAATACGGTTCTGATTTTCTGAAATTCACACAAAACAGAAGGTTTCAGAAGTGTGAGGTCCGTTTTTGTAATGAAAAAAGACTAGTTATAATTTTCTGAATAAGAGATTATAAATTGCTGTTTTTATGAGGAAAAAAAGAAAAAATCATATCTTTTAAAGAATTTTACTTTTAAACCATGAATTAAAAACGTTACTGCCTTTTTTTTCAATAAAAACATTTTGTGAAGGGTCAGTTTAAACGTTAAAAAATTTTGGGAAAACTAACCCCAAATTTTACCATTAAATCACACCTGATTCAGTAATGTTATTAAACTCCAAAATTGTTCCTTAATCACTGCTTTTTACTTACGTTTACAAGTTACAAGGATTGAAATTAATATTTCTTTATTTTATAGCCCAACAGCTCATAGAAGGCCATGACTTGCTGAATAATGTCGTTCATAACCAATCTGCTCTTTACTTTGAGCTTTCTGTTAGTAACTTTCAAAGCTATTTTATCTTTTGTTAAATCATCTGAGTAACCTTTTTTGGATCTTGAGTTCCGTAGTTTCCAATTTGAAATTTTTCGCAGCCTTATAATTTCGTCTCAATTTTTTTTTTCATTTCTCTCAATTAAACTGTCAAGTCTTATTACGTTTAAATTCTCCACTGTAAATTGTGCATTTGGATTGGTCGATTAATATCATTAAGATTTATTTTCAAATATTATTAAATTAATTACATGTAAGAGTGGAAAAATAAAAATTATATTAACATCTTACTAAACACTATTGAAGAAGGCGAGAATAAACCAGGTGGATTGTCGGCTTAACCGTGAAGATGTTTATGTCAATCACATTTTATTACCTCGTGATTTCCTCTATCAATAAAAGATACTCTGATTTTTTTTAATCGAACTTACCTTGTTAATGATTCATTAGCTATAATAGCATTCTTGTTGCTTACTCTATTAAATATTTGTATGAGATCCCCAATATGCATATTTTTTACTTGATAAGCCAGAAGGTTCATAACGCTCCTTTCTCAATATTTACATTTAGAATCCTTATCAAAAATGAAATAAAAACGTTTACACAATATGAGTCACAAATAATTATTTTCTTTGGTAAAATAAATAATTTGCCTCCCCCGATTATTTCGCAGGTCAAAATGTATTCTTGGTAAAATGAACGGTGGTAAATGATCATTTAAGCATGGTTTACACATAGATTTGGAAGGGAAGAAAGTTTTCTCCTGATCTTTGTACTCATGGTCCTGCTCAGCAACCAACCACAAGACTTTCTATTCCACAGATTTCACGAGCGCGTATATCGGGTACAATGATTATGAATACAAATTAGATACCAAAAAAGTAGAATTGATTAGGTAAATCATTTATATAACAGTACAAATACTTAGATTCTACTCCCTGATATAACTATGTTAGTTTCTTTATAAAAAAACTTAAAGTGATCACACGCTAGTCAATTTTCGCGTGCAGATAAAATCTCTTTAAACATATCATTGAGTAAAAGTTGTCCTAAATTACCATACTTTAATAAATTGATACTAAATAATAATCGTTCTTCGAAATAGTCAGTTAAAACCATTCTTTTCTAAAAATAAAAGACGAGAATATAAAACAAGTTGGAATTTCATAAACATATTACAATTAAAATAAACACTTTTTGATTCCAGAAAGAGTTCACCTAAAGTAACAAAGTGATTATCTTAACTTGCGTGTTACGTTTCTATGCATCATTATACGTCAATGCGTACAATTGCACGCTTAATCTTTCACATAATTTTTAAAATGGAAGAAAAACAAAGAAGTCGAGAAAAGAAGATCATTATTCCGCGAATTTAATCGTTATATACATTTGTTTAAGCAGAAATGGATAAAAAGAAATGCATACCCTGAACCTAGAAAAGATTTATGAATAAAATATTGATCTGGAATGTTTCAGCTCAGTTTTTTTGCTCCGCAAAACTTCAATCCGCTTTCATTCCGGAAACCATCATTTTACGGAATTGTATATCTTTATTATTTAATGTCTTATAAATGTTATCGGTTTTCGTTCCCCGGGTTTTGCTTCGTTTAACTAATGGTAAAAGTTTCGGCGTAACAACTAACGAAGCGGAGAATGTATTTCAGAATTCGATCAAATGGGATTTTTATTTTACAGAAATCGGAAATATTTTTTTTTTGTAAAAAATGATGATACTGAGATAGGAAAAGAGGATCGCGGATATGAAATTTTTTCTATTAATAATTTTTCATTAAAGCAAATAATTTTAAGTTTCAAAGTTTGGTGTGAAAGTTGATTAAATTCATAGTAATCGTGAAGGCAATGTATTTTTTAAGTCAATTACTTAAATGCTCGTCATATTGAATTATCTCTAATAATAAAAGGTTATACTTGATTTAAAACTTCATAGGCTTAAAAAAAAAAGCAATAAAAGTCTACATGTTTCAAGCGCTCAAAATAGGCGCCTATTCTCAAGAGTTGCTAGACGTGAATGAGGTTTACATTTTGTGTTTCAAATAACTTCTGATTTTCGTATTCACATCTGACAAGTCTTGAGAATGGCAGCATTTTTTTGAACGCATGAAATATATCCATCGTTTTCATATTTTTTAGAAGCCAATGAAATTTTTTGATCTAGAATGTATTCCCGCTACCGTTTCTTGAGATTATTATAATAAAATGCAGAATTTATATGCCTTGTCTCTCTCTGATTCCAGAGTGGTTTCTGTTAGAATGTTGAATTTTGGAGAAAAAAGCTATTTTCAGCCCGGATTCAAACTAGAATTCAAAATCATTTAACAAGCTTTTTAATTGCGAAATGTTAAAACCAATTTTTGGTGACTTTTGCGATGATGAAATCCTGACAACGAAAGCCATCACCATCTTAAAAAAAAGCATTTCCGTTGTAAATTTCCTATATTTCCCTTCAAAATAATGCCTCATCCTTTTTTGGATTTTAAGGACGATTTTCGGATAGATAATTTGCGTCGAACCCCTTTTTTTTGCGACTTAACCGATATCCCCTCCCCCTCTGACTTGTTTAAATTATGTCTATAGTAGATGTCATCTACTATAGACATAAACTCAAAATTTTGTTTTAAATTTTAATTAATATTTCTGCTCTTATTAAAAACACTAACATTAATTACTCGATTTATAAGGATTTTATAATGTATGTGAAGAGTAAGATACCTCACGCTTTACAGTCTATAAAAACTTTTGATATTAATATTGCTAGGAATTTTTGAAGCGCTCTTCAAGACAAATGTAAGCATTACAGGATTCATTAAATCGGGATAGCCTGGTTGGTAGGGAGTTGGGCCCATGTCCAAAAGGTCGCTAGTTCGATCCCTGTCGGCTTGATCCCCTTATACAAGTGCTACAATTTTCCTTATCAAATCAATACCTCTGGGAGTACTGGATCAGAAATTGATGGTGCTCTAGTTCATGTCATTATATTTGGACTAAAATATAAATCTCCAAAAAAGTAGTAGGAAAATATTATTTTCATTCGTATTAAAACATTTATCAATAATTGATTTTGTAATTGAAAGAAATTTAATGATAAATAACTGTTTCATTCAGATTTAAATAACAGCAAATAAGTGCAAATTTGAAACATTATTGTTTAGAAGTGAGCCGTGTTTGAAAGATTTTATCTTTAAAGCAGAAACAGAAACCGGTATTGCGTTCTACATTTCACAACCATAAATAATTAAAATGCTAAATATAATTAATTTACGCTTGTTTTGAGCTAAATTAATGCAAGATATTGAAAAGAGTATGAAAAATGTGTTTAAAAAAGGGTTAAAAAAATAAAATGCACCACATGGATTGCATTTTCGATGAAAAAGGTGTCGATAAGGTGACGACTTTCAGAAAACTGTAATCTGTTGTTGTTTCTAATGTCACTTGCCAAATACTAGCAAAGCCAGCTTGGCGAAACCAAGCTAATTTAAAACAGAGGGTGTGCTTCTTTTTTTCAGTGGCGCCATCTATGGCTAAGAATACGACTTCAGCCACACACACGTCACAGCTCGTTTATAGGGCGGAGCCATTCACACATCCATTTATTCATCCGCAGATCGTAATTTTGACTTGAACCAGAGAATGATCAAGTTCCAATTCAGTACCTCCAGGGGTACTGATTTAATATGGGAACATGGAGGACTATCTGATTCGACAGATTTAACGTGAACTAGTCACCATTTAGTACACGGGGATTCATCAGCAGGCGGGGATCGAACTCACGACCTAACTGTAATCTTTATCTGTTATATTTAGTCGCTCTGATGCAGCGACATTTAACTTAACCCTAAACGAGCGACGATGGCTCAGAGGATAGAGCGTTCGCCTTCCAATGAGGTGAACCGGGATCAAATCTCAGCGATAACTGGTCCAAACGCAACTGGTTCGCCCCGACCACAATGCTGACATAAAATATCCTCTGCGGTAGACTGATCATGGGTTAGAGTCCACTTGCTATCAGAGTAACCATGGGAGGCTTTCGTGGTTTTCCACTCCATGTTACGCAACTGTGGGTCAGTCCTAACTAGAAGTCCTCCGTGAAGGTAACATTTTCCCCAATACTTTATCCAGGAATTCCTTTGTCTTCTGGATAGGGTTCAAGAATTACAAGGCTACGGCGTTGAACATTAGTAGTCGTAAACCCAAAAATTTGATCGGCTGTTCAACGACGGTTATAAAATAAAAAATAAACTTTCAAAGAATTTTATGTCAAAATAAAAGTTCAATCAGTAAAACTAAAAAATCCAGTGGGGAAATTATTTTAATTTTCAATACTTACAAAAACTATACAATAGGATTTCAAGATGAATGAACAAACATTTGAGTTTTGATTTTTTTTTCTTTCTTAGAAATGGACTTTATAATCACTGGTCTTCATGATTTAAGACCACTAGCGAGTATCACATAACAAACTCATACAATATATTGACAATGATTCAGATGTACACGAAGAGCTTCGATGGCGTTCATTAGAAGACGAACATGTTTTACGCTCTCAATTCCAAAACACAGCAGGTCTTTCTCATTCAAATCAGCCATATGGTATAAGTCAGTGCATCCATTTCTATGCAATACTTTCTCGTATATTGGCAAGCCTAAAGAAATCAGCCAGTCTGTAAGGCTGTTATAATTGGCCTCAACGACTGATTCACAACATGAATCGACAAGAAAATCATTTGGTACCTGAAAATTGAAAACAATCAGTCGATGATTGAAATGAGATGCTGGAGTACTAATAAGTTGTAACAACACATTATAAAATAAGTGCGGGGTTTAGAACCGTTGAGAACTATTAGTTCTCACTTACAAGGAAAAGTTTCTTAATCTTCTAATTATTTTGATTTTTTTAACATATAATGTATAAAAAATAATTTTTGATAAAATTATAGTTATTAAAGAAAATACCATCAAAGTGCACATTTTTGTGCTATCAAAACACATTTAATTATAAACGAAAATATTGTAGTTAGTTAAAGACTAAAAGAAATTTACTTTTTAATAATAAAAAGAGATTTTAATTTATTACAGTTGCAGAACTTAAAAGTGGCACTAAGTTCAAGAGAACAAGCAAACTAGAAAAAACTCATAATAAGCCCATTCGTTGTTTTCAAACCGATTTCTCAACTACTACAGCAAAATGGATTCTGACCATTTTACTAAATTTGAGCACGCAAAATGTGACACTAAGTTGGGGAAAATTCAGACGCATATTTAAAATAGTTTTATTAAAATCGTAATGTTTGAAAATATAAGTTTTTTTCATACTTAAAGCGAGAAGTATAGTTTGTTTTATTTACAAACATTATAATGTTATCGTTAATGGTATTTTTAACTGTCTCAAAATTCGTTGAGAACAAAGAATGTTTGGAGCACCTTTTCAGTCAGAAATGATAGTAAAGCATATCGGGCAATGAAAAAGATGAAATGAAAGTATAATTACATAAAGCACTAAATTAATTTTCTAGTAGAAATTCAAAAAATAAATTAATAAATAAAGAAAACGAAAACAAAAAAAAATTTAAAAAAAACTCTAACGTGATTTATTAAATATTTTTAATGCAAAAAATTTTTTTAAATAAATTTTAAAAAAAACTATCTTGAAACTCTTTACACTTTTAGGAAAACAACAAAAGACTGAACGTAAACGAAATTGGCGTGTTTTTCCCTGAACAAGCTATAGAAATAATAACATACTTACCGCCATCATACCACGTGATTTTAATGCCCGTATTCTCTCTCGTTCTAATGTTTCTGCGATGTCGTATAAATCTTGTTTAAGCTCGTCTGCATATCTCTGGACTAAAGCCGGTGGTATTCCACAGGAACCACCCTAACAGAGCAGCACAGATTTTAAAATTTCACATCGTAATAACAGTAATAATAAATTAAATTTCAATTTAACTTTCTTTGATTTCAATTCAACTGAAATTCAGCGTTTCCAGGCTGAAGGATCACCTTAGTTGATAGAGCTGACTTCCTTACAAGTACTCGCATCTTCAAACGCACTTCGCATCTCTCAATATCGATGAAGACTGCTTATCCTTCATCAAATCTCAACTTTTCAAAATCTGATTTCACTTTGACGGTAAAATGTGATCTCACCTTACTTTATTTTCCATCTTACATTTTTTTAAATGTTCTAACAAAACAAAATTATAGCCCTCTACCTCAAAATAGCTGTTCTACAGAATAGTGAAATTACTTATGAGCATGTGAAATGTAAGCGACTTCTTAACTTATCACGTTGCTCACTCGTATACTCCTTATACGCCTTTCAAACTTTAGTAATCACTAACTAATCCAACCATAGCTAATCTTTACCTACTAGCAGCATTTTTACTTATTAACCTTTACCTATTGCCGCTCTATTGCTACACTGTAAAAAATAACTATAAATTCAACAGGAAAAAAAATAAACCCACTCTGCAAAGAATCTTCGTTTTTTTAAAGTTTTTCTCCGTATATTTGACGGTTTAAAGCTGTTTTATTGACAAAACTGCTTTTCTCTCTGTTTTATCCTAATCATAAGTGGTATAAGACCGTCAGTTCAGATTCTAGCTTTTGAAATGCAGTTTTGCTCAAATCATTTTATGATTGTTTTCCTTACTTGTTCTTATTTTTCATAAATTACTTCATAATTTTGAACATTGCATTAGTAAAAATGCGATTCGACGTTATTGTCGAATTACTCTAATTGATACTCTACCTCATTCTTATATATCTTTAGACATAATTTTTGGTATGTTAAGTTGCCAAACATTTTTATTGGAGTAGACCCCTATAGTTTTTAACATTTTAACACTGAATTATTATTTCAATTAGAAAGACTTAAGATCAAAACAGTTTAAGATTTTTTTTCAGATGCTGACACTAGAACTTCGGTAGCTATAGGGACAAAGCTCTTGCCTCTCAATGAGGTCCCTCAGGTTCGAATCCTAGAGTCAGCTGGTCGTTACAAATGCTGCTCTCGGCTCGCGTCGACCTCATAGTTATTTATAGAGTTCTTTGCTAAAATAATAGAGTTTACTTGTTATAATAACAATACTTATCTGCATAAAAAAACAAACGTCTTAAGACGGACGATTGCCGTCTTACGGTTTTTAAATAACAGTATTTTTTTGTAAAATAAGCGATTCTGTACTGGCACGCTAGCTGACAGTTTTTTCTCATAAATTTGGCAGATTTTTTTACGGTATACATGCTACATGCATTTCGCTTCGCGCCTTTATTTATTGAAGTACTTCAGTGCCTTCCACAAGAGTTTTCTTCCAGGATGGGTTTTATATGTCACTCAGCATGATTATTTCAATTGTATAATTGTTTACCACCATCAATTTTATCCAGTAATAAGTATAAAGGACATAAGGGATGTTAATACTATATTACATATGAACTTGAGGTATATTTTCTATGTCATATAAATTAGAGAAATATATGTGAAGACATGATGTTTTTATCGATATGTAGAATACTAGTCCCAAATTGAAACTGTGCATACATTTCTAAAATTTCTACTGCAGAAACAGAATGCCTTAGAAAGTTATACTTAGAAAAAGAAAAAGATGCAAATTATGAAATTTGTAGCCATGTTAAGTAAAATTTATGATTCTTTTATTGATGGAACTTAAAATTTACCGTTTCGATTGAACAAATTTTTATCATTTCCTTGTAATTCTTTCACTTTGATTCTTTTCTTTTACTGGTAAGTCGCTTGAAAATTAATTTTGAAACTGACTATAAAATATTGTTATTTCCATGAGTTGAAAAATAAAGAATAAATAAAAAACTAAAATATTTTCCATGACATTTTTCGGGAGGCTTAATTTGAAATAAAATAAATAAAAAATATCTATATTACCTTATCTGTGTAAGGCTCTAAAGATAAATCAATCTCTTCTTCCAGCAGTTTCTTTGCAACCATATAGTCCAATTTAAATGTTTGGTGATGAAATGATTGTATAGAAGGATACGGAGTTTCTTTCTTTCTTTTTGATTCCTGAAATTTTCTCTCGACTTGACATACATTATCATCTACTTCTTGAAAAGGTTGATGATCTTTGTAAAAGGTGTCTTTGGTATTCGGAGATAAAGTTCGAAATTTGGTTACACTTTCTGGGTCCATTGAACTGGATGAACTCTGATACAAAATTTCCTGAGAAGATTGTCCACCATGCCCATTGAAAGCAGTACTAAGAGGCAGAGAGTTATCTTTTAGCTTTTTTCTTGACAATTCTAACAGAGTTTTTTCTTCTTTGGTAATATATGAATTATAGTTTTTATGAATTGTACCATTCGTTTGATGACTGTGTCCAGAACTAGAAAAACTATAAGTAGGTAGGTTTTGTGAATAATTCATCTGATTACAAGCTATTCCAGCTTGTGTATAAAAGCTACTTTCCAAGAAAGGAGTATGGTTGTAAGAACTATTGAATTGGGGATAAGAATGGTGGTTTGCCTGTGGACTTTGTATTGGGGTATTTCTAGTTATTGGAATATTGAGGAATTCTCTATTGTAAAGTCCATCAGTTACCGGATAATTGCAACTATTTTCGACATCGACTCCAGAAATGCAAGACAATTCACAATCTAGATTATTAACCACATTTCTTTGACTAGTGGGGTCAATGTGCGAATCGCTGTTTAATAATTCAAATGAGTTTATATATTTTAGGCTACTCGAAGTCATCTTATTCTCTTTCTTCAAAGAGAAAGAAGAGTTTGAAGAAGAAGATGTTAAATTTAATTTCTTATCAGAAGGTGTAAGGCTTCTTTCTTCTAATTTTATATCTAAAAGAAACAATTTTAAAAATATCAGACATGGTTTTATAAAAAAAATTATTAAAAATTTTCTTGACTAATGTTTAAAATAATTAAATGCAGAAATGAATAAAACAGATTAAAAACAAGGATTAAAAAAAAGTTTAAGATAGTGTTGTAAAAATGCGAATATAAATCTTTTCTTTCCAAAAAGGGCGTTTAAAAATGTTTTCATTTAAACTAATTGTTTATATCAAAATAATATCCCCTAACATAATTTAAAGAAAACTGCATTTTTTTTATGTGTTTATCCTTTCCCTTACCAAAATAATTATCATACTCTTGGTTTGAATCAGAATCAGAGATTCGAATTATCAGTTGGATACTGATTTAAGTTAACCCTGAGACGAGACTGCATTTAGGTTAATATTTATATTATTATTTGAATTGACCATTCGAATTGACCATTAAACCTTCGGAGCAGCTTAGTGGTATCACCATCTTCAGCGACTGCAGGTCTGCCTTACAGGCCCTCAGCAAAGGTACCTCAAGCCTAATCCTGAATATCATAGAACAACTTGGACAACTTCAGCGTCTCCGGAAAAAATGCTTCTTGCAGTGGATTCCTGTCCATGTGAACCTAGAGTTCAATGAAATAGCTGATTCCTTGGCTAAAAATGCCAGAGATCTAAATCAAAATTCAATCCCAACCACGTTGGCAGATGCAAATGCTTTTGCAAAGTCAAGACTATTCACCCCTTTAAAAATCAAAGCCCACGATCAAATAACTAATCTTGACATCGATAGGAAGACAGCCACTACTCTCATCAGACTAAGAACAAAACATCATAAAAACATGAAAATTTCTACAGATAAGACTAGAAAATATCAAAACTGTGGCAACTGTCTTAA